ACATATCTACTACGAGTCTTCTTAGTTCTTCTTCTTAATTGAACTTCTTGGTTAAATAATTAATTTTTTTAACTGAAGCAAATCTATTTAATCTCCATTTATGTTTCTAGAATCAAACGATATTTTTTGGCTGTTACTATTTTTTTAAAACATATTTATTACTTTTATTTGCTTTGAACTTCACCAAATTGAATTTGCAAAAATGATAAAAACAGACCGTATGCATATCTCATTAATCAATTTATATAGGAAATTTTGCGTGTAATTTCGGAATACATCTGTTATTTCCTATTTCTTTTCTGAATCAAGGAAAAAAAAATACCAAACATCTGCATTTGTATAATTGGAATGATTTTCAAAATCTACAACCAACAAAAATGGAAATATTCCTTTCACCTCTCCCTTACCAATCTAATATTGCTAATGTAAACCCAAAACTGAATTCACATCCAAAACTTCATCTATCTTTTCAGTGGTAGAGTAGAGCATATGTATGACTTTATAAATTTGTGCATTCAAGCAAATGTAAACATTCACACATGCGGCAAACGCATCTGTGCAGCACGTGCTTCTTTACATTTGATGCGTGTTATAAACTATTAAAAGTAAAATTTACAGAATATAAAATTAGTATAAATATTCCACCGTATTCCAGTGGGTCAATTCAACGAAAACCGCATTCAATGACTGGACAACACTGCAAAGGTAAGATATTTGCCATGATATCTAGTCCAAATGTGTAAGTGTGCATTATCCGACAACAGAGGTTATGTACTGCAGATACAATTTTATGTTAAAGTATTCTCGGCATTCTCATATATAATATCTAGCGAAATTTGTTCTTAGTTGGCCGTGTTTGTTTTTGTTTTTGACCTGCAACCACCATTCCATACTTTAAGGGTGCTAAGCATGCTTCTGAAGAACATTTATCTTGTTTTAGGCACAGGCGCAACATTTCCACTTTTTACTCATACACATACCATTTGAGTGTGCAATATGATATGTCCTTATGTTTACGGTTGAGCACCGCACCGTTTTTCCTGAATTTACATTAGCTATTGTTTGATTCATTATGTGTGCTCACGGCTTTTCCATTATTTACGATATCCACCTTTATTGTTGTAAGCATATTTGCTGGCATTGTTATTTAATGCTTTAACGTCTCATAGAATTTATTGTTCCGGTTATTTGGTCTGTTATCAATGGTCCTTTAGAATTGCTAGGCGGTACAATTTATGTTGGTAGTTTCAGTTATTGCATCATGAAAACGGTACTATTAATTTATTTTCAGTTCCATTAAACTACTCGTATTTGGAATCTCAAGAAAACACTATATGATTTTTAGTTAGATAAAACCAAAAAAAATATATAAATAAATATTATATGAAAATATATTATATAAATACCATATTCAAATATTATATTTAAATATTAAAGTATATATATTTAAGAAACTGATTTGATAAAAAATATATTGTTGTCACCTGGATTTTTTTTCTATCGTTCCTTTAGCCAGAATGACAAACTACATCCTTTCAAATTGTGACCTAACAGAATTTGTAAGCTGTACTTGATTGATGACGTGTCAGACCCGAACATTGTTGTCACCTGGATTTTTTCCTCCCGTTTCTTTGTAAGCCAGTTTAGTTTGTTATTCTTTCAAATTGTGACCTAACAGAATTTGTAAGCCGTACTTGATTGATGACGAGTGAGACCCGATGATGATCTGGTTTTTTCTTGAGCTTGATGAACAGTATATGAGACTTCAATGTTTTTTTATTTAGTAATTTTTTTTAGGATTGCAATCACAAACGTTTATTAAACAAATGCTCAAAATGTCTGTTGCCTATAATTATACTGGAAACTAATTAAACTACCTGTAAATAAGTATATAAGCTGTAATATAAACTCAAATAAATGATTTAAAATCACAGTCAAAAATGAAACAAAAAAATAAAAATGTTTTTGCTTACTATTAACCGTAATATATATAAAATATTGAGTAGAAAAAAAAATATATAGGTAAATTCCAGTAAAAAGACTTTACTGTAAATGAACAAGTATGGAACCCTTTAAGTTCTCAATGAATTTTGAAATTAATAAATAAAATTAATTTCAATATTATAAAAATTTCAATAAAAATATACACAATTTTTATTTTTATATTACTAAAGAAATGAATTTTAGTTTTTAAAAGTCAAGTAATATTAAAGCAATACTTACTAAAGTAGCAATTACGCTTTGCCGGGTTTTGGTCTGACATTGTATTTCCCATTAGGCGCATGTATCGTGTCTTCTATTATCACATGCTTGAAATGTGATTAATGATTTGACTTGATTTATATACCTACTTCAGCAGTAGCAATGAAAGTACTCACTTTCTCTAAAAATATATTATTACTATGAAAATTGAATACTTATATACTATATAGTTTATATAATCTATAGTTGTAAAGTTATGGATGTTTATAATATAATAATAATAATATTATTAAGAGGTTTTTTCGAATAGTAGTGAACTACAACAACAAAAATTTTATTTTTTTATATTATTTTAATTAATTGAATTTTACGCTGACCATACAGCTGTGTCGAGTATTGCCAAATACCCATCATCAGTGGTCTTGGAAATAATTCTGGTATTTAATTATTCGTAAGAAAACTGGGTATATTTACGGATGTAAACTGTAGATTCTGTGAAGAGAATGAGGAGTTGGCCACACATGTGCTGTTAGAATGCCCTGCGCTAATGCACATACGAAATAGAGTCCTAGGAATGTATATTCTTACGAAAGAGGCAATAAAACTCTGTAAAGTAGGTTCTATACTACTTTTTATTGACGCAACAGGGCTTAAAGACCTACTCTAAGAAGGTCTACTCTAAGAGTAGGTCTAAGACCTACTCCAGAAGGGGGCACAATAGACCCGAAGGTCGCAGTGCTACATCCCCTAACAATAATAATAATAATAATTATTCGTAAATAATTATTTTTGAGACTACAAGTAATAATATTATATTAAAATAATATATTATATATTATTCTATATATATTATTATATATAATTTTTAAGTAATACCCAAGTCTATGTGACTGGTCATATTTTTGTTTTCTTTTTGTAATTATTATGTTGCATCCTGAAATATGAGTTTTCTTCTCATTTCTTTATTATAACGTATCTTTACCTTTATTTGCTTGTTACTGAAATTTTTTGAAGTTTTTCTGGTTGTGTAGCTGTATCGACCCTTCGTGCAGAACAAAAACTACTTAAGATGCTAAAAATCAGCTGACTGTAACTCATTCCCAGCTTGCACGACGCATATGACTGAGTTCTATTCGTTCTCGACATTTGCTACTAATTTATTTTAGTTTTGAAGTTTGTCGGGAATAGTTTGAAAAAAGTAGTCAGCGAAGCGTTAAGTCTACAGGCAGTTTTGTTTTTCTGTATTAATGGAAAGTATTAAAAAAATAAAACCAAGAAAATGTTAACAGTCAGACGCAACGTTTAAGCTCAATATAAATTAGTTATTTCCCATTAACGAGGTATACGTATAGTAGCGATATTCGCATTGAATCACGTAACTTCCAGCAATTCCGTATGGAATTGTGCAATAAGTCAAAGTGAAATTGAAAATTGAAAATTGCCTAAACCGTTTTTAGGCACATTGCATATAAATATCTTCAGCTAATAAAGTGAGTTCAATATATCTATATTATACATACATATATGAATATATTTATTGTGAAAATATTTTCCAAAGAAAAACACAAAAATGTTGCCAAGTGACAAGCATCAAAAACTTATTTTTTTTTTGGACTGATTGGACTGCATGCAGTAGCCAACATTTTTTTCGTTGTTTACCAAAAAATAAAAGATAAATTTGTACAAATATTTTGGTATCAATGCAATGCAATGAAGTGGTATTGTATAGTATCTATATACAAACGTTTTGATTATATATTATTTTTCAATTATTGAAATGAATTTTAATATACAAAGCTTTAATATTGTCATATAAACTTTTATTCGATTATGATGGGATTTCTTTATAAATTAACTTATATGTGAAATTGTTATATGTATATTAATTTGAGTAACTTATAAAGTGTTCCATCTATTTCTGTGCTTTTAATCCACCAACACTTAAGCGAAGTTGAATTCAAGCTGTACTTGTATGGTTACGACGTTTTTTCTCGGGTTTATAACTCTGTGGATAAGGAAGCTGTACTTGTATGGATACGACGTTTTTTGTCGTGTTTGCAACTCTACGGATGAGGAGGAAACTGTACTACACCTAATGTGTCAGCTAGAAAAAATTTCAAAGGGACCACCTTTTTTTTTAAAAATTAGTGATACAGTCATAGACTTGTTAGGTTGGTTCCCTTCTAATTGCATAGAACAGTCGTTCGTATTGAGGACTTCTGTGATTCTTCTGGTTTAACGTACGGACAGTGTCTCATCTGTGTTATCGCAACGGGGCATTTTTGTGCACTTGAATAAGGTTTTGTGTATAAGGTTGCCACTCTAATGTTATCTAACCTGATAAATACCATATCTAAACCTGTCTGCGTTGAGCGTCTGCTTTTTATTCTAATTTATCTTTCAACAGAATGCTTAATGTCTGAATGCAATTTAGACTATAAAGGATGAAGATGTTATCCTACAACGAACATGCTAGCAAAATAGAGATTCTATCATCAATATATCAGTATATAAAAAAATTTATTTAATAGGAGTGTTCCCTTGCTTAACAAGCCTGGTTACATTTCGAGTATATGTATTTTGTTGTTGGCTCTTTATAGTGTTACTGAGCTCAATACTTAAGATCGTGAATACCCACAATATGTTTTAGAATTAGAAGATATCTTAAAATTGACTAATACAATTTATATTGTATATTATAATTAGTAAATGAGGTTAATAACTTTTTAGAATAAAGTTAAATTATATTAATTATTATTGCATATTTAATAAAAAAATTTGTCTTTTGATTTTTACAGATGTCGTTGACAAAGAAGGACCCATCTTTGCGTGTTGCAGCTAATGATCCGCACTTGGTCAGCTTAGGCGGTGGTCGTTTAAGCACTGGTGTAACGATTCATTATATACCAATAGGTAAGAAGAATTTTGCGATATCAATCTTTTGATGTTCGTGCAAATATTTCACTAAAATTGTATTTTAAAATGAAATTAGGGACGAAAAATAATGCACCCATATTACAAATTTAAAAAAATAAATGAAAAACATAAAAAACATAATCGCGCAAGGTCATTTATAAACTGATAAAGTATATGAACTACTTAGTTCAAATTTGAGTACACATTTTAATATAACGAAAAATGTTAAAAGTGAAAAATGAAATCAAAACACAGATAAGCAAAGTAATTTCATATATGTATATTTTTTTGGGGTACCTAAAGTATTAAGCTTTAATCACAGACAACTGTGCTTTAACGTACCAATGATTTTCTTTCTGGCAATATTTTATTTACTCATGCTTCGTATGCTCATCATCATTCGCTTTACTCAGAATGAAGTACTTTTGTGACATTGCTTTTTGTGGAATCACATATACTCACATTTATACATTAGTAGTCATACGTTTCCAGAAAGAATGTTTCAAATGACTTCATTTCTTTCTATCAAAGAGCCTTTATACGATTTTTTACAAACTCGACAGAATCAGTTTTCATTTGTTTGCAGAAATTCGAATAGACAAGACAAATTCTTTTTCTAAAAAACGTGAGCAGATAAGAATATTTTTTATATATATTTTCAAAATATGAAAAGTGATCATTTAAATTTTAAACTAATAACGCATCATTATATAATTATAATTAATTTAATGGTCTTTCTAATATAATTTAGGTGATACAACAATAGGTTCCTCTACCGCATGCAATATATCACTGAATGGAAGTGGTGTACGTTCAACTCATTGCACAATCTATCGCAGCGAAGAGAATGAAGTAACTATAGTTCCAGAAAAAGATGCCCGCATACTTATTGATAACACAAAAATTACGCATGAGGCGAATTTGACGCAGGGTGCCATGATTACAATTGGCAATTCGAATTATTTACGTTTTAACAATCCCGCCGAAGCGCAGATGATGCGTTCTGCAATGGGTTCTAACGAAAGAATCTCAATGCCACAAATCGACTTTACGCAAGTGCCGCAACGTAATTCTGCTAAGAGTATAGGCTCGAATGGTGTTCCGAATGAACATCGACAATCGATGCACATCGAATCATTTTACGAAACGAATATTAATCCCACGAATTATGCACAAATGAGCATGTCAATTAGTAAGGAAGCCACTAAGACGTCAAGTAAAGCCTATAATAATATGGGACCCATCGACATTAATGGATTACATTGTCCGAAAGTATTTACTGCCGATTTAGTTACAGTAAATATGCCTGCGAAAGATGTTCTTGGTCAAAAATATGCCAGTTTTGCTAAAAATTTAGCCGAAAATCATCGCAATGATAAAAACATCAATAATAATTTGAAAAATCAAGCTAATAATATTAAAATAAATGCAAGTAATCAAAATGGCAGCGGTAATTATGTGAACATTCCAAGCACCTCAAATTACATACAAAACACAAATTTAAATATACAAAACAATAGAGGTAGTTCTGAATATCTGACTAAAATTAATAATGCAACACCACCGCGCAATAACTCTTATGTAAGCAATCATCATAATGTCACAGCATACGATCGGTATCCTAAACCAGGAACTTATGGTGGATTACAAATATATCCTATGACCGGTGTGAATACTGAAATCAATAATGGTTCCACAAATTCCTCGCCTATGCATAAAATTTCAAGTGAATCTGCATCAGCTTACACCTCAAACCTCAGTCAATCAATAGAACAAAAGCGGAATTTTAGCAAATCTGATAGCGAATGTCTAGAAGATATGCTTAAAATATGCACCGAATACACAGATCGTCAAAATCAAAGTTGTAATAGCATTACTTCATCACCGATAGTACAAAATCGTATCAAAACAAATGGTTCACTACCACGTGAAAAGAAGTCCCCTTTTCATAATGAACAAACTCTCACCACAAATAATACCAATCTAAATACTAAAACTTATAATGGTACAATATCAGCTTCATCTGGTTATGAAAATGTGCGTCTCGTCGGTCAAAATCGTGTAGAAATAAGCGGACAATTAGTTGGTTCACATTCACCAAAAACTGGCTACGAAAATGTAGTCATAGGCAAATATGTACCACAAAGTCCACGTACTAAAATACGTACCACTTGTATGTCTCCTAAAAAGGAGGTTTCATTCGGTAATCTTTTTAGTCAACCCATCGCTCAACCAACGCAAGCTAAACTCTCCAATCAAAATGAGTATGAACAACTTATAAAAACATTTGAAGAAAAATTAAAGTTAGAAATGCAAGCCATTGCAGAGAGTAGTCGTTATCAGCCTGGTAGCAATTCAAAAGCTTATTCTTCTGCAGATCAAACACCAGCTAAGCGTATAAATAAAAATATTAATAATCTGACACTGAATATTCAACAATCCCATTCGTTACAAAACTCGCCAAAATTAAGCAGAAAGCCCGCACCGGCGCCTAGAACATTATCCAGAGGGAACTCGGATAGTGTGAAGAGTTTACAAAATATTGAAGCGACAAAGACAACAACCATTAATAGCACACAAGTCAAGGATTGTATTAAAATTTTAGAAAATGCGGATCTAGATCAACTAAAGGAAGCCCGCAAAGATATTTTGATGCGAATTCAAGACATGAAAAATAAAGTATCTGATTTACAAAAGCAAGAAGATGAGGTGCTTAGAGAGGTTTGTAAAATAACTGAGATATTTTTAAACATTAAATAAATTAATATTGAACCCTTATTTATAGTTGGATATGGAAAAAGCTCTAGTATCTGCAGAACTTAGTGCGGTTGGTGTATCTGTCAGTGAGTTAGAAAACCAGTTAAAATTATTGCAGAATAAAATATATCGTTTGGAAGCGCAACGTAATGCAACTCGCGTTATGGAGGAGAACCAACAAGCGAAACTAAAACAATCAATTGAAATGAAGCAGGATCAAGTTAAAAAGTAAGATAGATGTTTATTTAAAAAGCTAAAATATTATAATAATTTATTAAGTAATGTACGTTACTCTAATTTTTTTATGAAAGTTGAACTTTGAATTGAATACTGATAATTGTTTTATTAATACCTAAACAATTTTAATTTATACCTGATAATTTAATTGCAATATTTATAAATATAAATTATTGCTAGTTGAATTTAACAACTGATAATTCAGATTAATTGATGAAGATTTTCACATTAAATGTTGAATTAGTTTTTATATTCTTAATTTAAAAATAAAATGAATCCATGTTGTTGTTTATCTAAAACATTGTACCATATATTTATAAGGATGACGAAGTTCGAAATGGAGAGATGAATAATACTTGGATACTAAAGCAGTGTCTTGTTCAAGAGCACGTTTTTACATAGTAAGAAAGTTCGTAATAGGCCTACGTCTAAAATTGCTTGGTATGAAAGACTCCTTTTTTCCTTTAATTAATTAATTAATTTGAACCATATTGATTTATGGCTTCATTACATTAAAATTGATAGGTTCCTGCACTTCAATCAATACTGGTATCAATCAACACTCACCCACACCTGTATCCATCTCCTATCTCTCACAAACCCTCTTACTTTTGCTGCCTACTTTTTCAAACCATGTGTTCGTCTTATTATCTATTCATGTGTCTTGTTCTATAGATCATCTTTGTTTACAATAATAATAATAATAACAACAACAACAAGAAAAACAATGTCTCCGGAACATAGATTTAGTCACTGTGTAAAAACAAAACAAATTAATGTAAACTTGATTAAATATTAAATGGATTTATTTATATCCAAAGACTTTTTGAAAAATTATTATTATTAGATGCTGTTGTATGTATTATATATTGATTTTTTTACTAATATATAAAATAAACTATCAAGAATCAAGTATTTTAAAAATGTACGTGTTCAAGTTATAGTATTATTAGTAGATATTGTTCATGAAATGGATCTTCTTTCAAAGCAGTATAGTACCATTAATAATTTATCTGTACTAATAACTTTCTTACTGAAATATTCTAACTATTTAAAATTATTTACAATAGAAAAACTACATAATACTTTTATTATTATTTTTTAGATTGAAAGCAATGTTGAAACAAAAGCCTAATAATGAATGTCTAAAAGAAGAGATTCATAATGTTTGTGAATCACTAGAAAATGATCGTAAAACGTTTGAAGACTTAGAATTTCAATATCTGGAGGAAGAATCAGAATGGCATGCTTATCGAGAAGAATTAAATGCTGAAGAAAAAGGCTTATCCACTAAAATTGAAGAAAAATGCATCGAATTAAAACAACTAGAGAAACAGAATTTGACAACACAAAACTATGCTTCCACAGATGCTAAAGCATTAAATAGTAAATTAATTACTATACTTAATGAACTAAAACTTTATCAAGAGCAACTGAAATCTATTGATAATAGTATCTGCGACATAACTGGACAAATACAACCAAATTCTTCAGATGATGATGAAAATATCGATGACAAACTGTCCTCATCCACAATATCGCCACCATTGCAAAGTAATCTGGTAACTGGTGTTATGTCACAGTCTTTATTTGGTTCAGCAGAACTATTGTGTCCAAAAAGAACTACAGAAGACATTATGTCCAAGAGTGTTAATGAAAATATGTTTTATAACAATAGAATTGAATTACCATGTGCAAATGCTACGAGTACACCTAAGCGCACACAACTAAAAATCATTGATATAACTGAGAATGAATTGAAAAATACAAGTGATAAGCCACCGAAATCACCACGTTTGCCAAATGATCCATTGCTGCGTATAAAGCAGAATATGAGTGAAAATGAAGATGTTGCACAAAATGAACGAGTTAAATTTAATCTTTCACTTGGTAGCGATGATTTTGAAGTCAATCCTTTAGAGAAACGTGTACCATCGCAAGATGATATTGATCGAATTTGTAAAGTAACACTGGATGCACCCATATCAACAAAAGGTGCAAGTACAAAAATATTCGATAGCATCAAAGAAATTGAGAGAAATCGTCAACTGCTTTTGGCACAACAAGGTAATGAACGCAATTATATAGTATGAATTTTAAAATAATTACTTAATTTATGTATTTTATTTTCAGGTCCACATGTCATTGAACATGAACGACAGAAAATGAATGACTTAAAGAAAAAGAGCCATGATGAAGCACGTGCACAATATCTATCGATGCTGAATAATAGCGTAGAGTAAGTATTACTTAAATAATTGTCTATTAAGTCAAATTATTGTATGAGTTGGTACAACATTTAATTAGTTGTAATAATAGTTAGTATAAAAAGATTACTATTCTTAGAATTGTTAAATCTGTTTTAAATTAAAAATAATTTGCATGGGTAAATTCTTTAGTGAAGTTATTACTTTTAATTTAATGCTTAGTTCAAATATTTTTATTTTTTATCAGACTAGTAGTAGTAGTATTCTTTTTATTAAATTTAGGTTATATTTACATTTACAAAATTAACATTTTCAATAATTTATAATATATAAAACATAAATATTATAAATAATTATAAGAAAACTAATAAGAAAAACCTAACTTCATTTACATAGTATCTAATTTTATCCTTATACGATTATGGCATTTGCCGTCAATCGGGTTTGGATTTGTGTTTTTTTTTTTTTTTTTTTTATCAGTATACTTCAGTTAACTTCAACTTGAAGCATATACATGCGAGTATCTCTATTTAATTGTTGATTATAGCTATAAGTACATTAACCCTTTATTTAATTAATATACACATTCTCCAGCAATTTGCTCTCTCTCAACAATTGAAAGTATTCATTAAATTAAATTAGTTGTGCATTATCTGTAAGCTTCTTTAGTGGACACTCGTATTAAGTTTCGCATTGCACATACAACAAATAATGTACATACAGATCTTATTTATGGTTGGCTATTTCTCCCTACATAATTTTATTATATGTACAATGATAAAATTTATCTGTTTGGGATACCAGAAGGGCAGATAAAACTAATAAATGAAATGCGTACATCAGAGGAAACTCTTACTTAGTCGCTGTGAATAAATGCGTTTTTAATTTGAAAAAAATTTAAATAAATAAATATGTATATTAAATCATTACATACATTACAATATTTACTTGATTTGAAAATATTGCGCTTATAAACAATTTCTATATACAAGTAGTAAATATTACAATTCTCATTAGTAATTCAAATCTAACTACAGACCTTCTGATGTAACTAATTTTTTAATTTGTTTTTCTGAAATAAACTAAACAAGTTCATTAAATAAACAAGACATGCTAAAAGTTTATGTAATAAATTTGTAAATAATACTAACACATATACCCGTATATATGTATAAAATGTCAGATCATTGACATTTCATTGTGCTATGCCATTAAAAAATCCACTTCAACTATTAAGACTTAATTATAAGTATTATCAAGATCGCATCAAATTAATATCAAATCAATCATTAAGTATGCAAATTATACTTTTCATTATAAAATGTAGTTCAGTAGCAAAATTCAATTTCTGACTGATTTGTGAAGTGAGTTAGTTTCGAGGCGAACGTCTAATTTCAAAAGTTTCCATATTGATGGAGTCAAAAAAATGGCATATAAATTATTTAAAAATCTATTTGGAAAAACTTTTCTATTAAGGATTATAAGAAAATACTTATCAACTTCTGTTGATATAATTCGCCGGGATGAAATTAGCTTTCTTAGCAATGACAATTTGTATCAATCATATGCGATTTGATTCTATAGAATAAAGAGTATTGTTGTTGTAATCCAAGTAAGAAACCTGTAAAGCAGGAATATGAATGGATTATACATAATTAAATGAAGTGAGATGGGGTGGTAGATTGTAGTTTGGCGGGACAACCAATTTGAAAAAAACAACGGCGAAAAGGAAAGAAGTCATATAAATGCAGAACATTATTAAAACAATCCTGGATCGAAGTGAAGAAAGTTAAGTTAATTGACTGGAACTACATAACAGTAGGGACAATTTTGTGTACGTAGACAGACGGCAAATCGATTGGCAACATCATGAAAAGTAGTAATGCAATTCTGAATAATAATTGTCAATTCTGAATAATCCAACAAGTAAAAATGACACCCATTCTTGGCACCTTAGGTATAATTAGTGTGGATGTATTGTGTGGTTGATTTGAACATAATGAGCGAAAAAAAAAAAATAAGAATGCATAGAGGTGTAGAAGTAGAGGAACAGGAAATGAGAACAATTGGACTCAGCATTGTATGTATATAGATGAACGTCGTAGAATGTGGAATTGCAGTTTTTGTGTATTTAAGCCAATTTCATATACAATCCAAATGCATTGAACTATAGAACTTCTGCGAATAGTGTTAGTATAGCTTAGTCTGCTTCTGAAACTATTATCTTTATCATTTATCTATAGTTACGTAAAGAAAAAAAGATATACTTTCTTTTGTTTTGTTTGTACGTTATTATCGGTACCTATCGCTAGTTCACTAACTGTTGTATATATTTCCTTTATAACCTGAATGCACTATTTAAAAACATCCTTAAATAATTTAATGCTTTGAGTCATTTTGCGAATGGGATTAGTATACGAAAAATGTTACTAAGTAAAATTGTGTATCTACTGTTCTTCACTCTAGCACACCTCATTGCCTGATGGAAAATTATAATATTGTTTCTATTATTGTTGTTATTATAATACTTTAATAATATTTGAAGTATTTCTATGTTACTTTTGTTACTTTTTATGTTACTTTTGTTCGTTTGAAAATATGACTAGGCCTGGAACCTAGACTGAGCCGCTCCTGAAACCATTGTCTTTAATATTTGCCTACAGTTATGAAGAGAATAAAAAAAGTAAATTTATTTTGTTGGTATGCTATTGTTGGTGGAGCCTATCGCTAGTTCACTTTCTGCAGTATATACTTCATTTATAGCATAAGTTAACTGTGAACTGATAGGGCCTATGGTAGATAGATAGCTTAGATAATTTTCAATAGGTCTTTCGTTGTAAATTCATTTTGATATTTTGGAATGTCACTCTGAATTGTATTATTATTATATATTATATACAATATATATAATGTTATTAATTGTATAACAATTGATAATTAATGAAACTTCTACATGATTTGGTTTATAGAACCGTAATATCTTTGTAGTAGATTCATATATCAATATGTACGTATATACTAATATTTAAGATATAGTTTACTAATATATAGTTAATCATGTTGAGCCTTTTTCGAGTTAGTCCGTCTGGACATTTTTACTCTTTGATAGCTGGGGGTGTCAAATTCAATTCGATGATTGATCTTAGATCTGCGTACCGCCCCGTGCGACTAGAGATTATTCTGAAATTAGATAGTGTTAAGTAGGGCAGCCGGTCTGCTATCTGTAGCTATTACATGTCGAGTAAGTTATGCAGTTTCCATAAGATTTGTTTTTGAAATAAACAGTCTTCGTTAAATAAATAATTTTTTAATTATATATAAATTATTTTTATATTGTCGTGCATATATTTGAAATACAGTTTTCGTTAAATAGGTAAAATTGGCTTGGAATATCACATATCTGTAGTGTTCTAAACTATTAATTAAACGTTGTTATAACATTGATATGTATAAATGAGATTTTTATAATTAGCGCCCTAGACCCTTTTCGCTGGCATCAAAGAAATCCGCTACTGTTCTATTGTTTATATGTTGACATCAATAATTGTTGAATAAACAAAACATTTCATTATTTATTTTATAAATCAAAAAGATAATGAGAACTGGTTCACGAGCCAATATGCAGGAAAGAAAGAATACGTTCGGATCACATAATTTTCATTCCGCTGTTCATTTTTTAACCGGGTATTTTGTATTCATGCTGATATTTGCATTATAATTCAAATATTTGTTATGTATTGCTTTAGTATTTTTTTTTTTATTATTAAATTAAAGTGGATTTTATTTGTATGCTTATTTTGTCACTGAGATGATCTCCGCATTTTGTCATTGTATGCTGGTGCTTGAGCTGGTGCAGTATGGAGATATATGGAATTGTATTTACCCGTTTGTGAAGTTCGGCGACTGAAGCGCGCGCGGTATCGTAATGAATTTTTTAAAAGCCACTCGCGACTGTCTTTAATGTAAAAATGCTTAAGTGCTGATTTGAATGAATCAGTTTGTAAGTTCTAAGTTACTTAAATGGCAATGGCATCAGAGACGAGAGTCTGTACTGAATATTTTGCTTCAAAAATGTATTAAAATTCCGCGTACTTAAAATCTAAACCTTATATTCATTCATAAGGTTTGAATGAATGTCAAAATGTGATTACTAAAAATAGGGCGGATTGACGAAAATATTCGCGAAAGTTTTAATTTGTTAAATAATTAAAAATAAATTTTCGTAAACTATTTATAAATGCATGTGTGCAAAATACATACATATATCGATAAAATAAATTACACATTAATTGGCGTTTCTATTTGCATAAAAAAATAATAAATATATAATATTAAAGTGATTTAAAATAGAGAAAATTTTTTTGTAAAATTAATTCATAATTTATTAAAAAAAATATTTTATATAAATTTTCGGTGAAAGTTAAAGTTTAAAAAATAAAAAAAGTGTTTGTGCTTTTCATTTGCATAAAAAGACAATTTTTTTTGCATTAAATATTTGTACTATTAAATTTTTTGTTTTTTTTTTTAATATTTATACCGTTTGTCAGTGGAAGAGTATGAGCTCATATATTTCTGTTTATTTAGAAATTAGTATGTGTTTTTGCTGTTTATCAGCGCCCCTTTCCGGCAAGCTTTTCAGCGTACCGAAATTTTATAGTGTTTTTTTTTGTTTTGTTTAAATTTTTTAGATAAGCTTCTTATCAATTGATTGCGTTCCTAGAGTCGTATGCCATGCCACAAATGCTTTCGCTGTTCTAAATAGATCGGCACTACTAAGAATACCTTGGTTTTATCATTTCATAGCTGTTTTTAAGTGTTTGTTGAACAGTTATCATAAATATCGGTTTTTTTTCTATAGTATACATATTGCAATTATGCAGTCGAAACTTCAAATGAATAAGTTTTAGTTTTTATTATTACTCATAAACATTTTTTAAATGAAAGTCACTTGAAAAAATGGATAAATTAAATGCTCTAATTTGTTGGTAAGATTTTTTTTTTGTAATTAATATATTTTCATATTTATTTTTACTTAAACTATTATATTAAATAGAAAATCTAAATATTTTTAATTTATTTTCCAGTGGCAGCAATAATTGTACCACAACAAACTCACAAGCACAAATCCCACAGGAACAGGAGTTGCAAAAGTTAAAAACGGATAAAGAAAATTCGACACAAATGAATAAAATAAATCAAAAAAATAATTATGAAAACAAAAAACAACAAAATGCAGATATAAAAAATCTAGAGAACAACGATGAAAATTCTAGTCAGGTGAGTGTTAGTCATACATACAAACATACATAGGTCAATTTGTTTTTTGATAAGTATTACTGCAGACCTTTAAAAATATAATGTTTGTTATGGTGAAGGATGTTTCATGCATCATATTCAGACGTTTCTGTGGTTCTGGATATGAGAGTTCTCTTGAGCAAATTTTTTCACTATGTTATATATCAATATAGTTTTCTAGATATCAGGCTTTATAGTTGAAAATTTTTATTTTATTTAACATGTGGATGCGCCAGATGGTTACTCGTCATTTATGTTATCAATGCGATAATTGCATATATTTATATATATGTATGTACTTAAAGGTGCTAGATGGCATGTGTTGTTTGTGTAATCATTCTAAAAAGTTTTCTGGTTTAAATCCTCGATATATCAAGAAGTTAAGTACATCGGTTTATAGCTTAGAGAAAAAAAAGCTTATTCCACTTAAATTCGTTGTTCAATTAGTGTATCCAGAAAATCTGGATAGCGCTATTATATTGTAGTTATGAGAGTTTGAAAAACTATTGTTGATATGTATAAATCCACCTTATAGTAACATTACTGCCTATCTATATGTTCAGAAAATAGTGTATGTGATTTCTATTGTTATAGAATAATAATATAAATTTTATAATAGATCAAGTCATCTATTTTAACAGTTATCTGTTCTTGTCGTATTAGCCTAAACAGTGAATCTTTTATAATGGATCTCTGATGAGAGAGTTTAATACCATTTGGTCATCTGCATAGATAAGTGATTGTTTAAAGTAGACTTGGTTGTTCTTGAAATCTTAGGGTATTTTTTTTTGAAACACACTACAAAGTTATTAGGGTTTGTTAGCGATAACATTAAGTTTAAAGATGTTCATGATAGAAAAATAATTCTTTATCAAAAATTATTTGTGAGATAATAATATATATATATAATATATATGAAAATTAAAAACAATTTTATAAAAAATAAATATTCTGCAAAAATGATTGAAATTATTCCTAAAACTCTACTTTGAAGCATCTTATTTTCTGGTTTCATTTGAGTACAAAAACCCATTGATATTAAATCAAATTGCTATTAAAGGACTAAAAGTTGATATATAACTTATGATACAACCATTTTGAACACAGTGATTTATATTAATGCATTTTTTAATTTAATTAATTAATAATTTTTTGTAGTAGTTACATAATGTTTAACTCGATGAAATTGAAATTAGGTAGGAGGGATACCCTTATTATTTTTTTTTATTTTTCGGAATATTGATGTTGAAGAACTTTAAAATGAAACAACATTCTGTATATTATATTTTAGCTATAAGTTTCAACTTTTGATTTAATCACGTACACAAGCAATTTCTTTGCAATATTTATTAATTCTTTCAAATAAATTTTTATTTTTAACTTTTTAAAATATTTCAAGACTAATTTTCAATATTTTTTCTTATTAAAAAACGCATCTAATAAAACAATTAAAATAATTTTAAAAATATGTTGAATAGATATTTTTCTATCTTTTTTTTTCCAATTTTTATGTTTATTTAATATTTAATGATTGTTAACACAATTTGAACTTAATTTTGAATAATGAATGAATAAATTTATTATAAAAAATATGAAAATTGATTTTATGATTTTTATACGACGTATTAACCTGCTAAATATACGCTACTGACGCATAAGTGCTTGGTACAAAGAAAAACAGAGATATCACATTAAAATGTGCTTAAATCAAAATTTTTTTAACACCTCCAATAAAATTATTATCCAAACATTGGCTCTCTTCCAAAAATAATAGTAGCGCACTCCTCGAAATAATTGGGCATGAAAAAAATAAGTTCAATAATGTAAAATCAACTAAACAAAAGCATCTGCTTAATATTTCAAAACTAAAATTCAAACTAAGTATAAATAATTAAATTAATTAATTGCTTAGTTGTGGTGTGAAATATTCCCTGATCTTGACCTAATGAAAGTAAATTGAGTTATAGACTATATCAACATTTTGAAATTATGGAATGTGGTAGATGTTAAAAATAGCATGTCCTTGATATGCCAAATAAACTGTATAACTAAATTAGTGTCAGACATTATTATATATAGAGACACACTACTTTTTAAAATAAATTAGTGAAAGTATTTTATATATAGTTTGTAATACAAAAACCAGACTTTTTTTATTATAACAACATTTAAAACCTTTCATAATATTTTTGTCATACTTCAGAAAAATCAGAAAAATATTAATTGATTGAGAGATTTTTGCTCTTCACTTCAATTGAATTATCTCTCAATATTATTTAAGAGTTCCATTAAAGTTCCATTAAAATTTAATGATTTCCTATTTTGGAGTTAATATTTTAAAATAGATTTTAGATGTTTTAAAGCAGGGTAGTTCAAACCAGATGGTGGGTCAATACAAATCACTGAATAAATTGGAGGGCCGTAGAACTAAATACATAGGTTCATAATTTTTCCGGTGAAAAATAAAAATACGATGATAATTTAATTAAATTTAGTTTTATTAATTCTTCGTTAATTTTTTTTTTTGCAATCTTATCAATAACAGCATTATTAATATTAGTTGTTGCCCTACGAAGAGAATATTTTATTTTTAATGTAAGGACTTACGGCACTGGATATTAGTTTTTTGAACCAGT